TATATAAAGACTTTTCTAACGGCCGCCTGTGTACCGTCTTTCTTTGTAAATATCTCATGTTACAATATGGGCACCTGCGGCTTATACACAGGTGCGGCTTATGTGTGTACAAAATATTTTTTTCCTTTAAAAATGTAGTGGTGCGGCTTATAATCAGGTGCGGTCTATAGTCCAGAAATTACGGTAATACAAATTATTGTTATGCGCTCTGGTGATCCTGATTAAAGAGCTTTTACGCTCCAAATTTTGGGTAGACTTTTTGTACGTTGAAATAAATTTACCACAGTGTTTCATGAGGTCCTCATGGAAGTCGAGCAACTGTTCTCGGATATATTCGGGACAGGGGCACTCCTGCATCTCCTTCTTAAAGTTCAGCAGCATGTTAATCTGCAGGAAATATAGTTTCAAGATCAATCCAGTTTTAATTGCATGGCCAAATAAGGTGTGAATGTTGCTTAACTTGGACCAGAAAAATACATTTCAGTGACTTTAGCATAAGGATGTAACTTCAGATATAAACACCAATACAAGAGTGTCAAGATGACTGAGGATCATAAAAAATAACAGATAACTGATGAGAAGATGAGAGTTTTTGAGAAATTTCACAAACAATTTAGACAGGCCTCTGCTGACAAGCTGCAGACGTTTAAGGCAATGACTTCACTACTGAAACGCTCCAGAATTTTTTTAAATTAGTAATGAGTTAACTACTGAAACGCTCCAGAATTATATATCTTTTTTGAACTAGTTATGAGTTAATAACGCTACTTGTGATGACGCGACCGCATAACACTGCACATGAGTGAAGGCGCTACTATATTTTTACTCCCATTCAACATCAGAGGGTTCAAATTAAAGGTGCTCTGAATTGATCCAACTGCAAACACCACAAAATAAAAGCTGAAATGTTGATCTCTTGTCCCGTGTTGTTTTTTTTTTCATGCCAACCGCATTATGTTTTCAGTCAACAGCAAAAATAAAGAAACGCCTTCACTGCTGTAATGAGACGTTTCACCTCTCATATCGAGACTTCACGCAACAAGTCTGGACCAGTCCTAACCAAACCTTGTTGCATGAACTGATAAGGCCTTCTCGGATGAGAGGCAAAACGTCTTCTATGATGAACAGCGCAATCCAACTGCGATCGAAAGAAAGTATCTGGATGAATGAGAATATCCACAAGTACCGTTCTAATACTTTTGGAGAGCGGTGTCGCTCTTCAAGCAACGTTTTTCCTCTTAGTTGCTTACCTGTTCCTGAGGTGGAGATCGGAACTCTTTGGTCTTCTTGGCGGTGAGAGCAGCAGACATGTTCAAGGCGAGCATCACTTCGTTGTAACGAAAGCGTTGGTTTTCTTGGAGACAGGCTACGAAATCGTCAGAGAAGGCTACTACTGCTTCGATACGATGCCGCACCTGGCAGTCGCACAGATACTGAAGAACATGGCACATCTACGATACACAAAAAGTGCATGACACCTATGAACATTTTTTTCTGTGCGACCACTTCAGAAAAGCTCAAATGTGGATGCTTGCATAATGTACGTATATAGCGTATTTTCCACACTAAAAGGTGCACTGGATTATGAGGCACATCTTCAATGAATGGCCTATTTTGTAAATTTTTTCATGTATTGGACGCACTGGATTATAAAGCGCAATCTAAAATGCATCCACTAGATGGAACTACGCTCCGACTACGCTTCGACTCGAGAGGCGTTTATGACCGCTTCCGAAAAATGTAAATTAACGATTACTTCAATGAAACTACGAAAATTGAAAATAATGCATCAAAACAGAAAATCAAGCGAGGAAATCACAAAATAAATTCTATAGGCCCCCTTGGCATTTCCTCGAGTGTAGCTAGCTCCAACAGAACGATCAGATGTCAGTAAAATGTCAGAGACTGGACTGTCTCAGAAGTGTTTGTTATTTATTCCTTTGTTGTGTATTCACAAATGAGGAAATCACGAAATAAATTCTGAAAACCAACACCACAACTCTCCTTTTTTCGGAGCTGCAACAAAAACTTATTTAATAAAGCAGCGACACAGTTCACTGAACTAACAGCAAGTTAATACCTTGTAAGCATGTCTCCAGCAAGGAGCCATTTTGGGGTTCGACATATTACCGTAATGACCATATACAAGGTGCACCGGATTTTAAGGCGCATTGTGAGCTTTTAGGAAAACGGAAGACTTTTCGTTGTGCCTTATAGTGCATAAAAAAGAACAATTAGTTTCAGTGAGATTGGGATTACCTGAAGTTTTACAGGCTCTGGTAGTTTCATCTGCAACAAGCCCTCCTTTGGGATGCTTTGCCCTTCATCCTCTGTCTCCTTTCCCAACTTCCTATGCATTTCCTCCTGCACTTCACATTTCTCGGAGAACACAGACGGCTCAATCAGTCGCAGTATATTCTTCAGATCTCCATTTTGGAAAACGCCCATGATGAGCATGGTGTAAAAAAGCTTTATGAGCGGAACAAAGAGAAATTCAGTGCTGCCCCCAATGGGATCCCTGACATGCATGTTGCCCTCAGATACTGCCTCGGTCAGCATCTCAACCGTTTTGGTTTTTAGAATGTCCAAGGGGAATTCAGGACTGTACTGGCAAGAATCGATTGCTCCTGAGCCATTGTTGGAATTCCTACGTGGTGATGTTCCGGAACCCCAGACAAAACTTGGTGATGAAAATTGCATTCTTGGTCTCAGGGAAGTGCTGAGCCCAATGCCAGGCACGCCGTGTTTTTTTTCCTCATTGGGAAAAAGGGTTATACTCTTGGTTTCACCAGTCATCGGAACAATGTACTCATTGTTCATCATGAGTCGAGCGGTTGCGTAGTTGCTCAGGTGGATGTCAATCAAGAGGTCATAGTACCCTGCGCGAAGCAAACCTGAAATGAAAACATACAGAAAAATATTAACTTCACTCTTAACAGTTAGAGCATAACACTTCAATTTGCCAACCATTCTGAGCATCCATCCATTTATTTTCCAAACTGCTGATCCTGGTAAGCAGGGGTCTCAAACCTAAGGCGCGAGGGCAATTTACAGCCCGCGGGATGGTATTTTACGGCCCAATATTTGACATCAAAATCAAATATTAGTGCAACACCCACCTTTGTTGCTGTGTTGTTACCATGAGCGATTTGTGTGTGTGTGTGTGTGTGTGTGTGTGTGTGTGTGTGTGTGTGCACGAATGTATTTTTATTATTATGTTTCTGACTAAATGCAAAATTATAATTTTTCTATACTTTTAATGTTACTGAGATATTGGAAGCATTTTTATAACCAACCTGCTTTTTAAAATAAATTGAAAATTAGTTGAAATTTTTTATTAATTTTTTTTTACTGGCTTCTGATTTCAAAACTAGTAATGCATCAATTTGGTGTTATGAGGTGATCGTACAATTGCTGTATGTGAGTTTGCAGTTATAATAGCCCTCAGAGGGACCATAACTACAATGCTGCCCGTGAGAAAATTTAATTTGAAACCCCTAACTAAGAGGCTAGCATAGGTCAGGCTCATGAAAGCTTTTGAGAAAACGTCATTTGAAGTGACACCAAGTGAAAAGAAAAGATATCCTGTCATCCAGTCCCAGGCAGTTTTTTTTTTTCAAAACCTTCTGAGGAGACAGGCTAGCAACAAAAACAGACAATTTCAAGAAAAAAAAAAAAAAACAATGTTCTTTTGTTTAGCACAGGAGCACCACAACATGTCTTGAATGCACAGGCAATGTTGGGGTGCTCCAGAAAGACATCGTTAATCAATTAGAAATGCTGGAGGGAGCATACAAATCACCTCGGAGATGAGCAAGAGCACTGGGTCAACAATCTTGTTCCCAAGAATTTTTAATTTTCTCAACTGTTTTTAATATAGCTTGAGAAGATTGGACTTTTTTTTTTTTTAACATACTTGATGAAGTCCACATACACCCAGATGCAGTCTCGGACACCACCACCCAATTCATAAATATTTTTAGCCTTCCATTCAATTATTGCATTCAATCATCATGTGCTCCAACACTGACCGAAAAGTTTGAATTCTCAGAATTTACTGCATAACAATTGAAACAGATAATCACGGCCTCACCTATTGAGAAAGAGGACAAATTTGCGTGAAGCAAAACTAAATCACAGGCTATTTGGATGCCTCTTTGGCAAAGAACCCATAAAACTAAAGAATGGCCATTCAGCTGATGACCACTTTTGTCCTCCCTCTTGTTGGCCATCCTTCAACAGGCGTGGTTTCCGATGATCTCACTGACTCTAGCTATTGAGCGAGTTGTACATCTTGCGAGTTGACTACCATCCCAATCACCCCCTCCTTTCACCCCGCACTGGCGCCTGCCATGCCATTCATTCATTTATTCATTTTCCTATCCGCTTTATCCTCACAAGGGTCGTGGCGGATGCTGGAGCCTATCCCAGCCATCATCGGGCAGTAGGCGGGGGACACTCTGAACCGGGCACAGAGACGAACAACTACTTGTGCTCACACTCACATCCAGGGACAATTTAGAGTGTTCCATTTACCTGCCACGCATATTTTTGGAATGCGGGAGGAAACCGGAATACCCGGAGAAAACCCACGCAGGCCCGGGGAGAACATGCAGACTTCACACGGGATTGAACCCACGACCTCTGCACTGTGAGGTCAACCACCGGGCCGCCCCTGCCATGCCAGTGTTGTGTAACTTCACATTTGATGTGTGGGCAAATACAGTTTCCACAATTTGGCTTCTTTAAAGCAAATACTTAGTCAGTGAATGAAGCTCTACTTGACAATTGCACTTTTATGCGACTCACCTGGCATATATTTATTCTCTATAGCATGCAGAAGCTGGGCCTCATCCACGTGAGAGCAAAGGGAGTGAGCAACCCGGTTGTTTCCCAATGCACAGATTGCAGAATACAATCTAAGGGTATGGTAATGAAACTTTAATAAGTCTCTCCTTTCTGTCAGTTCCAAGACATCCAGTGACCTGAATGACACACAAAGGCTTGAATGAGAAATGAAAGAGCATGGGACTGTATCAAAGTATCGATGAGAAAGGGAGGCGGCTAGCAGCTGGACGTGTGCATTCAACCTGTTCTCTTCAGGGATGTGCAGAGACAGAAACTGCAATGGTTCATTACATTGAACTTGCCAGCCATGTCGGTCATTCACTCGGGATACTGAAACCTGTGGAGATAACCGTTAGTATGTACACGAGCATTGCGTACAATATAAACAGATATAGAGTAATAACAATCATTACCTTGGAGTAGTGATTGGGAACACGGCTCCATAACACAGGAGTAAGAAACTGGACATGCAGCCGGGGAGGACACTGGGGGACTGAATTCTTCCTCTCACTCAAAAATAAACCAGCTGACAGAGGCATCACATTCTAACAGGGAACAGAAGCATCACGCCAAAATCAAGTGTTGCATACAACAAAGTCTTTTCGGGTTTTATTCTATGTTGCTGTTATGTAACCTGTAATTTATCTAAAGAGATTAAGAACAGATTAACATTTGCAATGCCGACCTGTCGAGTCGAGCAAAGTAAAAATAAAAAAAATAGCAAATCCAAATACAAACAAAAAAATTGTACAAGGTGGTATTGTTACATCTTTACATAATGCATTACATTACATCACAGCATTGTGAATTATAAAAAAATAAAAAATACATAAATAAAAGTAAAAAGGAGTCGAGGTTTTTGGCAGAATGGCTTCATCTCCCAACAAATTAATCAACTATTTGCCATGCCTTTTTTTGAAAGTGCGTGTCTCCTGGTGAAAATGTACAGTATGCATTTTAGATAAGTAAATGAGTCACGCTTTTTGTTGTTGCCTTTATCACATCATGTGGGAGGAGGACAGCCTCAAGAGTCCAAAAAAATAATTTGAAGGAATCTCCTTGAAAAAGGGATGTGAAAGCATACTGAATGTTGCTCGGAGCTTAATGACTTTTGTGTTCGCAATATCAGAAGTGTGTAGTCATCTCACCTTAATCTGCCCCAGTTCAAACTGGAAGACACTGGGGCTGGTAGCCTTGGCAAAGGGAGCTTATTACAAATCTCACTTATAGATATTCGTTACTGCCGGCTCTGTCCCGAATAAACTTGTAAATTAAGTTTTAAAAAATGTGTACTGCCGCATTAATACCGTATTGGCCCGAATATAAGACGACCCTGATTATAAGACGACCCCCTCTTTTCCAAGACTCAAGTTTGAAAAAAAGACTTTTTGAACAGCAAATAAATTTTTATACAGAAAATAATTACAGTACATCTGAAACCAATGATTATAACAATATATTTGAGAGAAAAAGCATGCTATTTTGCCTCATTCAAATCTAAAGTGCAATCACATTCGTAAATGAATGGCTTCTGGTTTTTGAAATGTAAATTACATCATAACTTCTCTTCAGCTGCCGGTTAACCTGGCCGATCTTCGACCCACTTTTCTCCAGATTGTCGCTACGTTTCTCCATTTTCTGTTATCTCTTCTATTATTTTCTTCTCTTTTCTTTCTTACCGCTATTTGTTATTTTTCTTCTTCGTGCTACCGCTATTTTTATTTTTATTCTTCGTGACAGGGGTTCACTTTTGTCTAGACCCCGAATATAAGACGCCCCCCACTTTTTCAGTCTTATTTCAATGCAAAAAAACACAGTCTTATGTTCGGGCCAATATGGTACGTCTGTGGTCATTGGTCAGCTTACACGCATGCAACAGCTGAAAGACATTTGCTCTCTTGAACCTTGACGAAAAATCAACATTCGCCATGCTCACAGACCCTCGCAAACTTTTGCCGCTCAGTGGGATCGAGGTTTTAGTCCCGTTGAAGAAAGATGACTGAAAAATCAAATATCTAACCCATTAAAGCGCAGGTATCAAACTCAAGGCCCGAGGGCCCGATCTGGCCCGCCACATCATTTTATGTGGCCCGCGAAAGCAAATCAAAGAAGTCAACTTTCATGATGCTTGCTACAATCTGTACCAACCTTTATTAGAAATTCTCATATCTAATAAAGAAGAGTGATACTGTGAGCATTATCTTGTGACAAAAACCCCTCATTCCAGTCACTTAGGCCAAAATGTTTAGTCTGTTGAATTGTTTCACACCCTTCAACATTTTGGCCTAAGTACACTGTCTTGTGTTATATATTTTTTTATTCTTTGTGCCATATAGTGCTGCCTTTTCCTTTCTCTCTTGCAACGAGATAGTCCGTCCACAAATTACAGTGCAAACAGTAAAATCGTAAATGTGAATCCTGTCCACTCTTGCAATCAGTCTTCCACATACCCAAACTTACAATTTAGAACAATGAACTTAAATAAAAACTTTTAGTTGCAGTTTACACCAGAACATACCTCCAGAGTACTCTATTATACTGACATGAAAAAGCAATTTGATTGTCTTATCCGTCCAGACACAATGACGCACTTGTCAAGCATCTTCATTCTAATGGCAGTGACATGTTCAATGACAGATATTAACTTTTGCTTACATTCCAATTTTGCCGTATTCTTAAATGTTGTGATACCTACGTGATGCTCAAACACAAAAGACAGAGAGAATATAGCTTCAATCACCTCTCATGGACTTTGCCTTTCTCATCTCCCAAAGTCACTGTTACAGTTTGGACCGTGTCCAACCCAAAGCCCGGTTCATACTGATGAAAGTCAGAGGTGACCCAGCCCACCCACACACTGCTGGGCTCCTGGCCAGGGAAGATCCGGACCGAGTACGAGTGCTATATGGAAGAGAGAAAAGCAGAATTACAATTGTCTTTGTTTATTTTTGTTACTGTACGTGTACAAGTTTACTTAAAACACAGTTAGTACAGGGGTTAGTTTGGAATAGCTCCAGTTTGGTTGTTTGGCTCTCCACAGAGGTGAGGGTCCTGCAAGAAGTTTGAAACACCCCCGACCAAAAGTAGACCAGTGAGTCCAATCATGTTTTTTTTTTTTTTTCTGTTCACTCAAAACAAGAAATCTCAACAGTTCCGTGTTCTGTTCCAGGTACAGTGAACGCCGCTGATTTGTGAACTCACCTCATCAACAAAGTATTTGCTGAGAAACACCAATTTGCCTTCCCTGTACCAGCCAAGATGCCACCCAACGCTCTAAAGTTCCATATTTGGAGCGGATTAGATAGCATTGGGCACTGGCTGGTTTGAAAGGAAACAGCATCGTAGTTTGACAAGCAGGCAATATTATGTGAGGGGCTCTTGTTGGAGAAAGCATGGGGGGTGTGGGGGTCTCAAGAAGATGCAGGGATTGGTGTGGATTGCTATTATTACTGGTGCGCAGTTAACTGCGAAACAGCTGGTCATGGCTGGCTGCTAAGATACAATAAGTAGTGAACTAAAGATAAACAATGAATTGTGACATATGTATTGTAATGGTATAATTTTAAAAAAATCATTGTCGTCCAATTATTTTTAAGGATAATTTTGAAACATGATTTGAAAATGATATAAAGCGATTTGCGATAACCAGACAAAAATCATCCTCTTCGATCAAAATATCCCATCCCAAAGCTCCCTTCACATTGGCACTTTGCATACTGTACAGAAGAATTATGATTTAATCCCTTGTTGACGCACATGATGATTAAAGTTCTTCGAAAAGACAGACTGAAGCAAGACTGAAATCTAAAACCAGTAAAAGGGTGCCAGGTTCATAGATGTCATAATCCCAGCACGCATGATGTCACTCAGGTGTGCTGCAAATTGAGTTTGAAAGCAAACAAGGAAGTGCAGCTTTCAAACAGTCAATTTTTTTTCTGCTGGTGAGTAAAATGCACACAGGCTGATTCAATCTATCTTTTCCATTCTCGCTCCTCGAAGCCCTAGCAATGACAGTACAACGGCACCAACATTCGTCACTCAACAAAAACAGAGCAGACAAAAATGCTGCCTGTTAAGGTGCAAAAACAGCTTGCGCTCTCCTGGCAGTTAGGTGGTAATATTCGAAAGGCACTGACATTCTCTGCTCTCGATCGCAGCAAGCACCGCGTGAAGCCGACAGAGCGAGCGAGCGAGAGAGAGAGAGAGAGAGAGAGAGAGAGAGAGAGAGAGAGAGAGAAATATTTATGTGGTCTTACAGTTGATGCTTGCATGAGTAATTCATATTCATTCCTGTCATCAACCATCAGATCCTCAGATAGACAAGCAGGGGTGGGAATGGAGTTGTCTGGTTTATTCTTCTTCAACAAAAACCTGGTATATTAAAAAAAAAAAAAAAAGTTGTCAACATTGAATACTACAGTGAAACTCCTCTACAACGAAACCTACATGTGCGAAAATAGCCCCTAATGTGAAAAGATTTTCATGCATGAAAGCCATTCCCACTTTTCTGCTCCCGCTAGGACGAAAAATCGCCCTGTTCCGTTCTACGAAATTTTTTTCTCTGCTCTTGCCTGGCGACGAGATTCACAACAACGAAAACAAGCCTTCCGCAAAAGTGTAATCCAACAGCAACCTCTACTGCTTCGTTCGGAAACGGCAACAGCAACCACCACACTGGTTTACACATGCGCAGTAGTCCAGGAAGTATTTGTTATTGTTAGATTCAGACACAGCAAGAACGTTCCCGTTGCTAAAATGGCTACAAAACGGACCTTTGGATGTCAAGCAGCTAAGACAAGAAGAGCTCTGACGCTGGAAAAGAGGGTAAAAGTGATCAAAATGAAAGATGGAGGAACCAAAATAAAAGACATTATCCAAGAAATTGAGCAAAAGAGTCGAAATGGCTTTTTAAAACCAAAAGACAAAGTGGAGTGATTAATATAAAACAATTGCATGTTAATGTTAAACAATATCAAATAAGTGTAAGCTCATATTTATGCACAATGTACAGTATTGGAATAAAAATAAAGAGTACACATATACGTTTGGTGTGCGTGTGTGTGTGTGTGTGTGTGTGTGTGTGTGTGTCTACATCTGATATAAAATTTGCTACAGTGAAAAACCCCCTGTTGTGAAAAAATTCTTGCTGCAACCATGACTTCGTTGTTGAGGAGTTTCACTGTATACACTTGGACATTTGGAAAAAATATATACATAAAATAAATAAACTAAGGTGACAATTTGTTTACCTTTGTTTGAGCTTGGAGGTTTTCTCTTGGTTGTAATCTTTGTGGTTGTTGAATTCACCTCTGTCTGGACCACTTGGACCATTGTGGCCGTGCGCTGTTTTCACAAGGACTTCAAAGTCCGTTTCAAAGTCTTCTAGATCCTAGGCACAAGCACTTAATATGCGATACACATTCTCAAGCAATGGAAAACACATTTGTGAGAATCAATTTTTTTTTTGAATGATCTTACTGTCTTGAGTGACACGAGACTGCTGTTAGAAGGAGGCCTGGAGAAGGATTCAGCACATTCAATGGGCATGCTCAGTCTGTAGAAAGTTATGTCGGTGTTGCTGTTCTGTGAACTAAATGACTTTTGTGTGACCTTCAGACAAGGACAAGAATCCACTGTCCCATCTATTCTTGTCACCTTAAAGAGAGAAGAATATTTATATTTTAGTTCCCACTTGATTTTTTGTTTGTTTGTTTGTTTTTGGGCCACGTTATTTTTTTGCTCTGTCATTCTGGCACTGAAATAAAAAGTCTAAAAAGAGACAAATTTAAGAGTTACCTGGTGTCTTAACATTTCAATAAAACAAGAAATAGTGTTTTAAGTGTTTTAACAATTCTTGACCCTTGGAAGATTTTGAAATGGTAGTTCTGTCATCTGAGTGAGCCATGGCTCACCCCGCCTCATAATGTATACTGGTTGTGCCAATGGTGAGTCAGGATTTCAGTGCAACTCATCCTATTAAGTGAGATTTCCCTGCATGACTTAAAAAAAAAAAAAAAGAATTAAAAAAAGAGAACTCCCTTTACCTCTATATGTTGGTGGTCTGGGGGTACTGGCACAAATTGAGGCAGCCTTTTACTAAGCCATATTGTGACATCACGGTTCATGTTGACAGCAAAGGGTTCGTAGCCTTCCTGCAGACCACATATGGTGAAGTATTCCAGGGTGCTGACATGTTTACCAAAGTTAATCCGCCCAGCCTGGCTCACACCCAAACTGCACACAGGGATGAAACCTTCGGAAAGAAATACATGTTTAGTTGTTCGTAGTATACATTTGGCATTATGTCCTAAGTCAAAAAAAAAAAAAAAAAAAACAGAAACCCTTTGGAAAACTAAATTCTAGCTTAGCCTTATACTTTCTAAGTTACTACAATGCACATCATCTAATTTTGTAAATGTTGCACATCCTCCTACATTCCCTTTATAGAAGCTGCCCAAACAAATTTAAATGTCCAAAACCCAAGGAGATTGTTTTTTGGGGGGGGTTTGTCTTCTCTCAATTTGTTTTTATGAAATGGACACTAGTTCTTTTCGGTGATCTGGCAACATCACAAATCTGGTTTGGTTTTTCATTGTTCTCTCTCAAAGAGTTTTAGCTGTCCTTCATCTCAGCGGGCTAAAATAAGGCCGTTTGCATATTGACTGGCCCAAACCTGCTCTGTCTTTGTTCTCCTCTTCTTCCTCTTCTCTCACGTGTGTTAAATTTATTACATTTATTGATTTATCTTCCATCCCCATCCACAATTTAGTGGTGTCTTAAGAAAGGACCAGGCTTGTTGCGTGCCCTCTAATTGTCCTTACGACTGTGCCATTAATCTGCTCCCGGATTCCTCCTTTCCCTCTTTTTAACTTTACATCATTCTCAAACGGGAGCAAAGTGTGATGGAAGTATACGTCTCATCTTCTTCCGCTGTGGGTCTCATAATTTTATTTTCGTGCTCTCTCTCATAAAGACTTAGTTCATTCTTTTATGCTTCTTCAATCTCAGCTTTGGGGTCCGATCAGTCGCTTACTTTTACATTGTTGCTTTTTTTTTTTTTTTTTTTTTTTTTTTTGCACATTCGCCTACATTCTGCACCCGTCCTCAAGAATTGATATTTTAAATGAATTTGCTCTTATTTTCAACTCATTGTGATACCCATAATGTATATATTGGTCAAACATATGACTTACTGTATAACTGCAAAAACCACCAACCTTCACCAACGTCAAAGTCTTTGAAAGCCAGTTCTGAGCCGGAGTCATCAAGCAGTACTTCTCCATTAAGGGTGAACATCATGGTGTGTTCATTCAAGTCCACCATGCAGCCAACAACATCCCCTGCCTGCCAGGCGCGCCCAAAGTGCTCGTTGCCCTGGTGCCAGCGTTGTACCTGGAAATCATGGAGTCCAACAGAGCAAACAATGTGACTGAAACTGGAACTCCATGCACTCCAATCCATTTGACTGCTTATCCTTTGGACACTTGGAGGGACTATCCCAACAAGAAGAATCTACACGACCATGTTCAAATGCAATTTTTTACGATTTTTTTTCAGCCAACATTAATGTGACTTGCACTAATCACTTGAACTGATCACATTCAAATTTATGTAAATAAACTACTGGAAAAAAAAATCTGAGGGGAGAACCCAAAAGAGCATCACAAAAGAAGAATGATGGCAATGGGTTGCATGGGTTGTGCAGGTGTTGCAAGCCAAAAATTATTCACTTTAATATATTTTACATATTTAACTTCCGATGTCTCTACATCATAAGTAAATAATAATAATAATAATAATAATAATCATAATATCCAATTCAGATTTATTTATCTGGAAATAAAAGCTGAAATGGTATATTTTGTCATAGTCTTACATTGATCTTCTGATGTCATACCCAAATGTTTTCTGTGTACTGTATTGCAAAAATACAGTACTTTTTTTTTTAAACACATACTTTTGAACAGGATTACACAGCCACAGCATTTCATACAAGAAAATTGCACAGATAAATGTAGGTACCTTGAATCCATCAAAGACAAAGGCTTGTTCATCAGAACCTAATTCTAGATCTGGTAGACATCCGGGTCTCGCCCAGCCAACCCTCATCTCTCCTGCTGTCAATACCTGAGACAAATGCAGATGTGAAACAAAAGAAAGGAGAAGACATAGTTATAATAACTTATCCCTGATATTTTTGAGGATCCATGATATCATACAACAGATTTTACTTTCATAATACATCAAAATATATTTTGCTGTATAAACAGCCAACGGTTCTAATGTTAAGCGTGATATTACCATATTGGCCCGAATATAAGACGGTGTTTTTTGCATTGAAATAAGACTGAAAAAGTGGGGGGCGTCTTATACAGCTATTCAGGGTCTAGACATTATACCCATTCACGACGCTAGATGGCGCCAGATATCATTGAAGCGAATGCTGAACTTGACTCCCCAGGCCAAAGGGAACCCCTGTCACGAAGAATAAAAATAAAAATAGCGGTAGCACGAAGAAGAAAAATACAAAATAGCGGTTAGAAAGAAAAGAGAAGAACATAATAGTTTACACATTTAAATGTTCAGATATTCAGATTTGAATGAGGTAAAATAACATGCTTTTTCTCTCAAATATATTGTTGTAATCATTTGTTTCAGATGTACTGTATTTTATTTTCTGTATAAAAATTAATTTGGTGTTCAAAAAGTCTTTTTTCAAACTTGAGCCTTGAAAAAGAGGGGATCGTCTTATAATCAGGGCCGTCTTATATTCGGGCCAATACGGGACAACACAACACATAACCCCAAGA